CGGCGCCGGCCGACATAGTCGGGCCACGCCCCAGGCTCGTACGTGACTCGCTGAGCTGAACTGGAGCGCGCACGCGGGGATTCGATGCGCGGGGGGTTGCCGTGGCGCCCGCAGTACAGAAGCAATCCTAAAAGACGATCTTGTAAGAGCCCCTGTTACAAGACATCCGGCGAAATCGTGACCTCCTTGCCATACTGGTATACCAAACTGGCATACCATGCTGGCATACCATGCTGATCCGAGCACGCTTTTCACGTGCCGAGATGAACGCGAACACGCTCTCTCCAATGCAGGGAACCGTCTACTCGAACACGGTGGTAGTGCAGCACCACTCGGTGGTGATGACCAAGACGGACAAGATCTACAAGGTCCGCTGCACGTACGACATGTCCTCCAAGAACATCACGTTCGGCATGCTTCCGATCAGGTAGATGCGCAAGATGTTTCTGCGGCGTTCGACAATCGGCAGAGGCCACCATTCATGCTCAGCGGACGCATGCGTACATGTCCAAGTGTCCTGATGACATGTTTGCTTATATTTAATTCTCCGTCACCCTGGCCTTCCGCACAGCGGCAAAACAAACACGTGCCACGTGCTGCCTGATGCGTGGCATATACTTCAGCCCCCCCCCCCCTCATGGTACTGCGCATGCTAAGCTTGATTTATCTCAGAACATGTGCCATTGAAAGCCGTACACACGAGCGTCGACCGCCCTCCCCCCCCCCCCCCGCAATCAAATGGCGTCCGCGTGCGAGACACGGCGAGCGGCTCTCTGAGCGGGCGGACGCCTCTCTGGGCGGGCGAGCGGCTCTCTGAGCGGGCGGACGCTCCACGAGTGGTTCTCTGAGCGGGCGGACGCCTCTCTGAGCGGGCGAGCGGCTCTCTGAGCGGGCGGACGCTCCACGAGTGGTTCTCTGAGCGGGCGGACGCCTCTCTGAGCGGGCGAGCGGCTCTCTGAGCGGGCGGACGCTCCACCAGGGACCCGGACATGATCTCCATCACGTCAGCGCCGGCCGCTCCGCCGCCGCGGATCAGCATCCTGAACGGCGCTGGACGCGAGGTCGAGACGGTCCGCATCGGAGACCAGCTCACCTTCCGCATCGAGATCCCCAACAACAGTGAGTATTAGCTCACGACCTCCTGGGTGTCGGCTCACCTCCGACATCGAGATCCCCAGCAACAGTGAGTACTGGCTCGTCATCCCCCCCCCCCCCGCCAGGAACACTGAGTGTGGGGCTCACTTTCGGCGTCGAGACCCTTAGCAGCAGTGAGCACTGGATCCACCAGCAAGTACCTACTCCGCTTCCGCACCGGGTTCCACATCAGCACCGGGTACCGACTCATACCCCTCCCCTTATATAGTAAGCTGTCCAGCTTTCGCACCAAGGTCCCAACTGTGAGTACTCGTCGCGACCACTACTCAAGCCAGGCAGCGGCTTGCCTTTTGCATTTCAGGGCATCGAAGGGAAGGGCGCAGCGATTCGTGGTCGTAATGGGTGCTGGTCCGCGTGCTGCAGAGACGGCCAAACAAGTCAGCTCGGTTCCTACCACTAATGGGGCTGACGTGTTCTCATATTTGGGCGCTGGCTAAAGAACATACCATGGTGCGTCCTATATGGTGGCAACTATGGTGGCAACTGTACTACATATGGTGGCAACCCAGCAAGCGTGCTCGTTTCTATGCGGTGCAACTTCATTCTCCCTCAAGAAAGAGCAGACATCAGTGTCCTATTCCTTTGCGCAGAACAGCCGAGTTCCCTCACAATGTATGCCACCCTGTTTCCAGCACCGTACGGCATCTTCGCCCGCAACTGTGTGGCAATGGCCAAGGATGCCCGCAGCACCTTCAAGATCATCGACGAGAACGGGTCAGCACGAACCAAACCCATCCGTGAACGCGGAGCGAACGCTCGTTGCATGGTGACATGCGGCACGCCTCCAGGCTTTGGAGGAGGCTGGAATCCCTACTGGCCGTCATCATTGGCGAAGTGTCGCGTGATGCCTATGTTGCGGTGTTTCATGAGACACACAAGCACTTCTGTATCACTCATGTATCACCCAGTCGGCTCTACCACCGGTATTACCCATGACATTGCAGCACCACCAATGTTTCCGGCAGGCCTATAAAACTGCGCTCGCTTCGCTACACATATCGATCGAATCAACGCTTTGTTTATACGGCAGCTCAAATAACATTCAACACGACGATTATGCGGGCTTTAGACTGCGGGCTTTAGACTGCCACACGCAGGTTACAAGTCCCGCAAGATTGAACTCAGGAGACAGTAGAGATTATACCTGAAGGTCACATAGTGGAGTCCTTGGTCGCCACCTTTAACGCCGTTAACGCTCACAGAAAACTTAAAAGATGAGGCTAACTGCAATTTTGACGGCAGTGCAACTGGGCACCTGCTATTTTTTCTAAGCCAAAACACACCCAGAACCATGGAGAGCTCAGGGACAGCTGCTTGCCGAGCATATACAAAGTAGGCAACTGTGAATCCTGAGTCGTAGTGGCTGTCAGCAGGGGCACAGCCATGACTGTCTTAAGGGTCGGGTTGGGGCGGACACTCACGCGGCACTCAAGGAAACCTGACGAGCCGTTAATGGTGCGGAAATAAAAGACTGTGGCCCTTGAGGCTAGGGGAGAGTAAGAAACGCCCATCTAGCGGCGCGTCTGGCTGGAGAGGATATCATTCAGTCATTATCTGATCATGACATACTTGCGTCTCTCGCCAGCTGTCCGGTGGATCCTGCCATCTTCCCCCGTTTCACATCACAAATCTACGCGCTGGAGTCCAGCTACGAGGCGTTCCGATTCACCGAGTCCTACGGCGTCATCTTCCAGTGCAACGTCAAGTACTGCCTGGGCCAGTGCGAGCCGGTGAGAGTCCGACACCGGTTCTAAATGCTGAGCAAAGCGCGTCGCTGTATCCAGAGTGCGGTGGCGTTCACGTAATCCGGTTAGCGGCGTGGGGCCGCAATTACACACAGCTGATCTGATTACTACCCCAGACGGCTGAACACGCGAGACGAAGTTCATGCGTGTTCGGAGCAGGAGTGCACCGTACCCAGTAAATGCAGGAAGTTGTCAATGTGGGTTAGCAAAGTTGAGCAGTGCGGCTACCTTGCAGGCAGCATGTGCCAGAGTAACTCTCACACTGAAGTTTTGGTGATGGACCTTGATTGAGAAGCAGATAAAGGGAAAACACAAAGAGCGTATTATGGTTAGGAAAGTGAAACATGGCACGAAGTAAAGCATGGGTCGACGCATATCACCATCTGTGCCGCGGTCTCGTCTTGTACCCGCTCACTCCGGGCCCGGCCGCCTGTCCGCGCAGGCGCAGTGCAGCCACAACCGGGAGCAGTTCTCGTCCTGGGGCCGGCGGCGGCGGCGCGCCGTCCTCTCAGCCACCAACGACCGGCCCGGCCCCGACAGCGACTCCGAGTCGATGACTCTGAGTCAGGAGATCCTAGTGCTGGACTTGGGCGACGAGGCGGTGGGCACGTCGGAGAGGCGGGACAGCAGACATGACGCCGCGCAGCCGACCCGCGCCAGTCCAGCCGCCGACGCACGCCAACGCCATCAGTGAGTACAGCGCGCTGCTCCCCTGCCGGTCCGGCAGCGCTTTTCCAATGGGTCCGCATGTGCCGACAGACCGCTGCACAGCGTGGGCACGTCAAGGTTCTGGACCACCCGACTTCTATTCTCTGGGCCAGAAATCAACGGGGTCGCAGGCACCGGTGAAATATTTTTTGGACGTCCACTTATTACTGTTCTCTCATCGCCGTCGTGAGGAACGTCGACTAGACGCTGCATCCTGTGTGAGGACGCCGAGTCAGCTCTGGTCGTTGACCAAGCGAAACACCCACCACAAAGCCCCTCACGAGGCTAGCGTAACGTGTCGCTTCCCCCGCAGATGACTTCAGCTTCACCGAGGAGGGCGTGGAGCTGCTGGAGAAGTGCCCCACGCGGACGTCGGTGCTGGCGCTCTCCGTCACGTGTGCCCTCCTCGCCCTCGTCTACGTCTGCACCATCTTCTGCGTCCTCACCAAGCGGTGGCTGGCGCGGGGCAACAAGGTGGTCTGAGGAGGCATGCGGCGGCGTTAAGCGCGCGGCCTGGCGGAGCCGGTGACGCGCCGGCGCGCGGCAGCGAGCACCCTCGCTCGTGGCAGGGAGTGCGCGGAACACGACTACCGAGCATTAACGTGGCATTATTCAAACTCGGATCTCTGGGCGCAGAGATCACGCGATTTAAGACAATCCTTACAGAGCAAGCTGGACTCTCTCTCCGTTTGCGAGGCGGAACGGATGCACGGGCATTGTTCAGATTTGTTCTGCTTCCTATTTCGATAACCTGGATGATTGCGACGTCTTGACACATGACATGTTTCCTGAGAGCACACTGCAGTGCTGCACTGTTTGCTGGAAGTGTGTACAAAGCATGAGGTTATATGAATTGGCTTGTGAAAACCTGTAGCACACATATTTACAAGTGACGCAGCGGAAGACGAGAGATCTCGCCTTCAGTTCCACGACAGCCAGCCATGGACAACTCGTGTACGTGTGAGATATGTGAATGTATTTATACGACTGTGAACTTGGATGCACACATGATACGGCGGATACCACCAAACAAGTTATGATGAGCCCACCAGATGCGTGGAATACACGACTAAACAGTAACAATTCTGTAGTTTCCACGCATCATTTGCGCGGAAGACGATGCGTTTACTCCAGGACTGTTGTTGAGCATGAGCTTGAGACCGCGAGCGTGCGGTCTGGAATGAAGCACTAAACACAGTCATGTGCCGGCATCACCGCTGCGGCGTCGGCTGCACAGGCATCACCACTGCAGCGCTGACTGCACAGGCATCACCGCTGCGACGCCGGCTACTCAGACACCACCGCTGCGGCGCCGACTGTACGGGCATCACCGCTGCGACGCCGGCTGTACAGGGATCACCGCTGCGGCGCCGGCTGCACAGGCATCACCGCTGCGACGCCGGCTGCACAGGGATCACCGCTGCGGCGTCGGCTGCGCAGGCGTCACCGCTGCGGCGCCGGCTGCACAGACATCACCACTGCGACACCGGCTGGGCAGGCGTCACCGCTGCGACGCCGGCTGCACAGGCGTCACCGCTGCGACACCGGCTGCACAGGCGTCACCGCTGCAGCGCCGGCTGCACAGGGATCACCGCTGCGGCGCCGGCTCGGCCTTGGTCGGTGTCGTTGCTGCCTTCTTCTTGGTCAAATCGACACACTCGCCGGCCAACCGCTTCCGGGGAAGTATATCTGAAGAAAATGCATGCAGTTATCACCATGGCAACGGTACGGAACGTCGATTAAAGGCAGGTGGTACGCTTAAAACAACTGTCACGGAAGGGTGAATTTCCGGACACCACCGCAGCCGTTTTGATGGCCTGAGCACAGGACTCTATTTTGGAAAGGCAGCTCGACATCTTTGTGCACTTTTTGAGCAATTGTGGCTTTCCAAAACTAGACAGCATCATCTCATTACATTAAGTGATGTTATAAAGTGATTATCTATAAAGGTTTCAATGCGAGCATTCCGTTATCTCTATTCGCTATTTTATTCATTCACTTCAGTCGCATTTTGCAAGCCAGTTCCATTTAAGACCGGATTAGTTCGTATCCGATGGATTACGAGCACTATGCGTGTGCAATACATCCCATTGTATCCATGAGTGGTACAGATTCGTTGTCTCACGACAGCGAATGACCGAACACAATACGAAAACGTCGCACAACGAGCTGTCTACATGTGACATCGACCAGTAAAGTGATCAAATCCAGCTCGACGATGTGATCTCAATCATTGACCAAATCCGGCTCCACGATATGATCTCGAAAGGTGATCAAATCCGGCTCCACGATATGATCTCAAACGGTCATCAAATTCGGCTCAACGATGTGATCTTGAACGGCGACCAAACCCGGCTCCACGATACGATCTCGAACGGTGACCAAATCCGGCTCAACAATGTTGTAAAATCATGAGATACGGGCGCGCGCTCATCTTTTGTAATGCACAATCAGCGGACCCGGACGGGGTTATGAAACACTGGTCGCCATGGCCGTGATCCCGGCCTGGGGCGCAGCCAACCAAACGGACAAAAGATGTTAACCGCAGCGGTTTCAATGCGACACGCTGATGGGAAATAACAAGCAGCTTACCAGCAAGGAATGACAGATTTTCTTCATTTTCTACCGCGACAGCGATATCTGCATACTCAATGGCCTTCTTGTTTTTGCTGTGCACATAGGCCTGGGTGATGAAATGTTGGATAAACATTTCCTGGAAAACAGATGATCCGTTACATCGGCTACAGACATCGCGCAACAACGCTTGGCATGGACAACTGTATCACACACCAGGCAGGTTGCTAACATCACGACATTTATGTACGTAACCTAGCAACAAAGCAGGCGCACGTGCCACTGACAAAACCGACTGCATTATAAGGTGGTACGTGACTTGCACAGCATTCCTTTCGATTTGCAGGGCGTGCTTTACGAACTGGATATCGAGTAACGAGGGAAGCTCGTGTTCAGCTACGTTCTGGATTGATGATGAAGATGATGACTCCCATTTACATGCCTGTTTAAATGACATCCACAATGCACACATTACAGCTGGGCACCTATCCAGTGCCTCCCCCTGGAGCTTAGCATGGACCCCGGGTGGGGGGAGGGGGCAATGTGACCGCTGGTCAAAGTGATGTCAAATGAAGTTTTTCCGGAGTGACTTGCAAACGGCGCTGCGTAACCGCACCAAACTTTGAAAGCTGTACGCAATTAAATAAAGATTCTTTTGGTATAAAAGTGGATGTACCTTGTCAGGTCGTTGACCCATGACAGGTCAAAGTCAGGTCATGGCTGTCAGCACAAGTATTTCTGGGAATCGTTCCATTTGATGCGACAACGGAGTGTTAGACGAAGCCATACGTTGCTGGGATAGTTTCTTAAGTAATTCACCAACTAAATTCAGAACTGCAAAAAATTCAATTGACCTTAGAGTCAGGTACAAAGGTCACACCGGAGTCAAAACTAACCGGCTTTTTACCGAATGCTCACTTTGAGAGATATTTTCTGTTCCACATTTTTAATTCATTAAGGACAGAAATCGCCAAAGACATGTTCCATAGACTCAACAAGGTCACATTAGATTAATGACATAAAATGACGCCGGCCAGCATTTTGTGTTAAGGAACATACCATCTGGCGTAATATCTCACGCCTATTAAAATGGCAAAATAGCAGCGATCCCGTAGTCGCTTGATTATCTTGATATTCTACAGGTCAGATAAGGTCAATGACCTTGAATAAACCCCATCGACCTTTTGTTTACAACAGGTATCTAGGTTGACAGCGGTTGCATGCGGGAGTCTGTGGTCTTTTTCATACGAATGTGGAGTTCCACCTTGATTGGCATTATTTGACCCAAACATCGCATGTGGCTTCACATAAAGATGAACCCATCCTGTGAATTTGGTGTCTCTAGCTATCATAGTTTACGAGATCTCAGGGGGAGGTTCAAATTGACCCACCCCCAGCGAAGGGCATTCAACCGGCCACCTGAGCGCGTGCTAACATAACTGGCGTCCCTGCGACACGCGCTGGCCGCCCAGCCAGCCAAAAGGTAAAGAGACCTGTCAAGTCGCACGTTCACAGTACCAGGCCACTGCGTGTGAGTAAGAACATGGAACAGGTGTGAACCACACATTACGCAAACACACGTGTGATCGCTACGTAATGGTAAAAAAGTCAAACAAAAATACGCTTTAACACGGGTGTCAATTTGTATTCTTTTGGGAGGACCCTGTTGAGATGCCCTCCGCGTTTTTGGCTGGAATACTACAAAAAAACGCGGATAAAAGATGGTCACAACACAAAGACTTTCTTCTTTGATCTTCCTGTGTGGTGGCGTCTCGTACGACGTTCATAACAAAAAGTTATGGTTGCTCTCACCACAAGATAAAAATCGCAACAGCCGAGCGGATAAACGATGCAATAAACTTCGCATACCTGGCGCCATAAGACACGCAATGGTTCGTGAGGTTGAAGTGAAAAACTCTGGAATATGAGGATGGCCTGAGTCCTTCATGGCTGATCTCGTGCCCGTCCCCCCATAACCAAAATGCGTGGCGCCTCCCATAACCGCCAAAGGAGAGCATCATCGGCGCCCTAAAATGGCCTCTAAAGGAGCGCCTTTACGTGTCGATCAGGAGAGACTCGTGCGTCCAGCGCCTGCTCCCTGGATCCAACCCTGCACGACTCCTATACTGCTTGAATAAAACGCTTTTTTAAAGTATACCATAAAAACGTATATTGTGATTGCAATTCAGTTGCCTAAATCTAGTGAGAAAAAATAAGAGGGAGGTAGGCCGTCGGGCATTCGGTTCGGCCGCCCAATAATTTACAAAAAAATTGACACTACTGCAATTCAATTTACCTCGCTAGAGAGAAAACAGCAATCCGGCCTGGTTTCCGTATTTGGATATTATGGTTAGCCTATTCAGATAGTTTGTGTTCTAATGTCCGGAAATTTCATCTGGAATCACAAACATACATTCCAATGAGAGTATGCCGGGCAAGACAATCAAATTTCGACCGCACTTCGGATCAGAGGATATCGGATCAAGGTCGTATGTCATCGGGCGAACCGATTAGCACAGGAGAACCGATGTGTTTTAGGACACTTACAGCCTGAACGACTAAGCCCGTCCAAACTTTTCCTGGTATATAGCTAGTAGATTGCGACATTTCATTTTGCCGTCCCGATCTATATGCTGCATAATTTCCGCGCAGCACTGTTTTTAACACGCATCATAAGGGATCCGGTTCACGTACTATTGCCGTGCAGCTTGGCCTTTTTGGTGCACGAACCCGGTGTCAGCGGACCGAGAGCGCTCGACCTTTTTTCCCTCCGCGCGCGATGACCCAAACGCTGACTGGTTATTCCGCACAAATTTGTTCATGATTGTTGCTGCAAATATCTGTGCGTTCTCAGTAGCTTTTGGAATGCTCCGAAATATTCACACGAGACGTTGATCTCCGAATCTTTGCCGAATCCGACTTCTCCGTCGGACATTTAAATCTCCCAAATTCCAATGTACATGTCCACTAGTAGCCCATGACACCAAGCAGCTTAAGTTACGAGCGATTGGAGCACCAAAAAGTAGGCGTCATTTTAAACACACGCTGCGCCACGCCACCACTTGCGCGGCTCGCCCAGTGTGCCCCTGGCCCGCGGGTGCAGCGTATGGGAGGAGGAGGAGGCAGTGACGGTACGCACCGTGGCGCGGCACACAATCGGCAACGACTCCTGGCTGACCAGCTCGATGTCCGGCGAGCTCTTCATGATGGTCCGGATCTTGCTCAGCGGCAGACAGTCATCCCGCGGTCTGGACTTCTGGTCTTCCATCTGCCAGCAGATGACGGTGTCAGGCGCCCTCCGACTGCCCCCCTCCCCCGCCCTCCCCCCCCCCCCCGTGCGTGTCCTCCCCCATATTGACAGTAGGTGTCAATCGGTGCTTTACGGGTTTGATCGCGACTGGCTAGGCGACACATGGACAACCGCGCTGTACGGCGACGTCCTGTTGGACTTTTGCGTAAATACGTGCCTTATCGACCCAATTAATACCAACGATGTGGTTTGCTTCGGCGGTATACATGTTGTGACGAATGCTCCTCTATCATCCCACTAACATGCTTCCATGCAGGCCTTTCCTGTTCGATGATACATTTTGCTGGCTCATAGACTGAGCACAGCTGACTGCTGGCATTGCACATATACACAATACACACTCAATTGGAAGTGGCCGAGTGGTATGCAGCATGAGGACCGAGAGGTCTGAGGTTTTATTCCTGCAGCAGTACCCTGCCATTGGTTCCAGCAGGGCACATCCCAATATGTCAACGTCCTTAGTGGTTACAAGTGTGGGTGAGTCTTACAAAAATTATGGAACAGAGATGATGAGGACAAAAATGTCCCTGCTTTCGACAATGCAAAATCAATGATCTGTGACTAATGATATTCTCATCAGTATATGGTAGTGTATTCATCACAAACAAATGGTGCAGTTAAATACAACCGTGGACACCAAGAGTTTTTAATATATACATTTACATCAAGCAACCAGCAACTGAAAAGTCATTCACCTGCCATGCATGATAAAAAACAATTTCCTCTAAAATTCAACTGAACACTTATGAGTGTGAAATAGGCTTAGTTAAGTTTTTCTTTGGATCAGCTACCCTGAATTTGATTTCCTCCTGGCTGGGGTAAACACTGATAAAATATGAAATACTTCAATGTAAGTAGAACATACTCATTTGTGATCCGAAATGTGTGAACATTTGTGAACAACTTTTAAGGAAAGAGGCATTTCCCAACTTAAAACAGCACTGAACATTCTGTATCTGGCAAAAGTGTTTGACAACAAGGCATGCAAAAAGCTAGTTGTCCTACTACTGATGTTCATGCAGGTGCCTATTAAAGTACCTAGCCATGGAATATTCTCAGAGCTTAATCCACCATCAAGTGTTAGTGGAGCCAACATTTGGATTACACACCAATGCCCCAAATACCAAGCACACTGATGGAGAAATCCATTCTTTTTCACTGCATCATGCCTCATTGCACTCTTCCCTTTTCTGTCCCTGAGCTGTTCCCATGTTGTCATCTCTCGTGAGAAACTGTATGCTGGTAAATGCATATATGTGCATGACATTCAAGCAACAGCCTATCACAATATGCCAAAAGGCTATGCTATGTAGCCCCATTTTCTATACTATCTTGATGTTTCAAGACATCACTTTTGGGCTTTTAGATTAGTGGTTATTTATGATTTTGTTAACCAATATCAGATGTCATGGAGCCTCTTCTCATTCACCACACAAAATATTTGTACACATTTGTTCCCACCATTATGGTACACTATTACATGTATAATAATGAAAGATATTACACCAGGGCCAGGAAAAACACATTCACTACCTTGAATAAAAGGGTCAATGGCTTATCTCAACATGCAAGAATGCACAAGGAACATGCAAAATACCACAATATTTCTGTTGAGCACCCAATCACACATTTCTTTTCACCAGTATGGTATAATGTGTCTATTACAACTGGCAGAGACATGTCCCAAAAATATTGTCAGTTAACCTTATGGTAACTAAATAAAAATGGGGTCAACTCATTGACCCCCTCCTGATGGATGAGTCTTGACTTTCTACACTATCTAAAAAACAATAACACTGAGTGATCATATAACTCCACCTTATCAAGGCTGACATGGTTTCAAATTATATGGCCTTAATCTGAAGACAAAACAGCCTTAAGAACACCATAATATTCACAACCACAAAAACCAATGTTATGAACATAATGAATTAAACATATCATAATGCATGGTAAACACAATAAATTGAACATCTCATCAAGGCCTGAACAAATACACACAACACAATTTATATTTATCTTTGAGGCTTCCTCAGCCCATTTCAGGATATAAAAACTGACTGAATTACAAATCATATCGATGTACATCCCAGACACTCAGACACCAGACACTTGGAAGAAGGCTTCAGCTGTGCACAATTAAGTGCACCAAAGCCACAGCATAAACATGCAAGCAAGGGAGCATGCTTATTTGTCAATGTGTTTTACCCAATACAATTCCATATGCAGCACATTTGGCAAAGGAAAAATTATCTTACAGGTGATTGTCTCACTGATAACTATTTACAGAGATTCCCTATTCACACTCAACATGTTTGGAAAACAACCCCCAGACACAACTCTCAAGCTGGCTGCACCATGCACAGCCAACAGTCATTGTTATGCATAGCCAAAAAATTTCCCATCTTGCCATACTCTGGAAAATTTACTGGATTTCAGGATAGACATACATAATCCCCTAATGCTTCTTAAAAAGAGGCTTTCCTGGGAAAAACGGTTTATGCATTCTCTTCATTTTTGAGCTGTTTTCATTCTGAAAACTGATACTATGAAGCCAGATTAATGCAATGTAATACAATCTTTACTTTTCTAAACAGCACACTTAGAAGCCTATCCATAGACCCGCAGACAAAACATAGAATACCCTGCTGACGCATACCAGCTGAGATATTTTAGTTGAGAAAAGTGAAACCTGGACACATAGTGCTGAGGTCCTTCACAATGACCAATACTGCCTACCAGCATAACAATGTTTCGACATAATGTGCAAAATCTTTCAAGAAGCTCGCTAAATTACGGTCAAAGAAATACAGAACATGCAATGAAATATCAATCAGCACCTGGTAGCTTTCCGGAAAGAGCCGTAACGTTCAAAAACTTCAAATCCTGAAAAATAATCCCGCCGCACAACTCACCACCCAACGCACGGACCCGACAAAGAGCAGGTTTGTGGAATGTCGCACCAGCGTAGTGTTTGTATGAATATAATGGACCCTGAGAGCATCGTTTGTTTCCAAATCTGAATACACTTTTACCAGTCCTGTCTCGCACCAACTCAGGTGGAGGCAATTGAATCTCTTGAAGGTTTTTCCAGACCTATTTCTGAACAGTGTGGCGTAGCCGCGCCAAACTTTGCATAGCTGTAGAAAATTAAGGTACGGATCTTCTGGTATGATAATTAGATACATTTTGCTAATTTCCTAGCGTATGGTAGGTCGTAGTCAGGCCGTAGCTGTCAGCAAAGACAATGTCTAGGAATCGTTCAATGTCATGCGAAAGCGGAATGTTTGACGAAGCGATACATCGGTGAGATGATTTATTTGGCAATAAAGCAATCGAATCTAGGATTGCAACAACTTCCATTGAACTGGTTTCAGGTAGGAGGATCAGACCGAGTCATAAGCCAACCTGCTGTTTTGATGTGGAGCTTGCTGCATTATAAAATTTCTGGCGCTCATTTCGAATTATTATGACAGGAACCACGAGAAACGTATTCCATGGACTTCTTGAAGGTCAGAGTAAGTAACTGACTAAAAAGTACCCAAAAAAATTCAACGATTTCTTTTCAGGAACATCTAGCGCTGCCCTTGACGCTTATAAAAATGCCAAAATAAAAGCAATCTGACAGAATATTGGTTGCCATAATCTTTTAAGGTAAAAAGGTAACTGACATTACACGAAAACTAGTAGCCCTCAGCTTAAAGGCATCTAGGTATCTAGGCATCTAGGCATATGGGTTTAAGGCGACTGCGTGAGGAGGTCTGGGGGCACTTGAGACACTAATCTAGAGTTTGACATTATTTGACCTTATTTGACCCAAAGGTCATGACCTAGGAACCTTGTATTTTCACAAAGTGATTTTACATACAGGTTAACCAGTTCCGCAAAGTTGGTGCATCTATATTTCTTAGTTTTAGATCTCGGGGAGAGGGCAATTGAACCCCTACCCAAGAGAAGGATATTCAACCAGCCACCCGGGCACGCGCAAATGCATCAGGCGCGTATTTTGGGAAGGGTGGCAGGTCACAGAGCGAGCCTCTCTACTTAAATAATTACATTTTAGCTGAAAATTACACTAGAGGGTGTCTGATGTGCTTCACCGCGGCAGGTCTGGCGGGACGCACAGGCGCCCTGGCGCCGCGTGGTCCGTTACCTGAAGCGTCGGTCGACCGACGACGCGAGCGGTACCAGGGCCTTGCGAATTCTGTCATTGGCTTGCGAGGGGTAAGAGAGTTAATGCTGCGGGTGTATTGGACCGTGTAGCCATCAGGACTTCCAAGATCGCAGCGTCCATTGTTCATGACATCCAAAATGCACTCAATTCCGTGTCAACTGGCGGCGTTTATGACGTACAAGCTTGCAATATTCAGACTCATAGCAGTCAATGCTCGTAACATCAAGCGGCCACGACGCCCAAAGTATGCGCGGATTCCTATCCTTCAATGACAGTACAGTGACATATTTCCCTATTTGGAACCAGCTGGTTTAGTCAACCCGGCGTTCAACCCATGATAACGTGATAGGGACAGCGCAACATAATTTGTATAAATCACCTGGGTTGCCCGACGACCAGTGCTCCTACCTTTGGTTCCAGCATAAATTCCGTACCATGAGGGAGCCTATGGCCCACCGGCATTTATTTATTCATAAGGTAACTTTACGCAGACGACGTTCCATGAAAGGAATTGTCTTACTAGAATTTTCGATGTCGCTTTCTAACTTTGACTCGGCGGCGGAGCTACTGGTTCCAAACAGTCATTGGCACCTACTGCTGTTCTTTATTGTTGTTGATTCTAGTTTTAGGGCGCGCCGACTACTGCGGTCAGTTTGCGCCCATAACAGCTAAATGAGTGCCTACGGCGGTAAATGGTTAAAAGTATATATTAGTCAGAAATGGAAACGGCTGAGTTGTGACAGGAACGCGTAACTAATGATATAATAACTTGAATACTTGAATACTTGAACCCATAAAAACATAATGGTACGACATTTTCGGTAACCTTAAACTTCGTACACGCGGTATGAACTATTCAGCCAGGTGTTTATTAAGTGTAGAACTTAATATGCGATACAAACCTGAGGTGTTCGATATATGGTGAGCTGTCACATAGTAAATCGGAGAGCGCCAGGGACGGCGCCGCCGGGCCAAAGTACCTCAGACGCTCGACGCGTAGTGTGGGGCAGCATATGAGTACATGTTCCACTGTGAGCGTGGTGTTGCAGTGGCGACATCGTGGTAGTTCGTCGCGATACAGTAAGTATCGATGTGTAGCATAAGTATGGCCAATCCGCAACCGACACAGGATTACTTCCTCCCGTCTGGACTTTTGATAGGATGAATGCCATTCCTGAACAATCTGCTTAACGTTTTTGAGATTACTGGTGCCCATCGCATCCCATGTGCTCTGCCATTCCCCGCGCAAAATGGCAGAGATGGCCGAGTATAGGTCTGTAGCGGGCTGCTGTTCTTTAACTATGTATAGATGGATAGAAATGGTCGGCATGCATGCATTTAGGTACGCAGGCTACGGAACACAGATTTGTATAACGGTATTCATTCTCCAATTCATTGTAACAGCATCATTCAACTCTGCGAACTAATGACTTCACATATTTGTATGTGCAAGCTGTCCCTCATTGGATAACCAAAGGCACCTTGGATTCAATCTTATCTTTAGCATGCGATAATGACACATACTCACACACACACACACACACGCACACACACACACACACACACACACACACACACACACACACATATATATATATATATATATATATATATATATATATATATATATATCCCCTGTTTAGTAAATAGGCTTCTCAATAAGTAGTTATTTCATTACGTCATCTCGCCTTGCAGCACGTTGATTGAAAGTCAACTGACGGCCGCTTTATCTGGAAACTGTGTTCATAAATGCCATAAATAAACCACTCAACAACTGTATTTTTATTGGCCTTGGCCGTAGCATGGCCAAAGAAGCGACATAACTTGAATGACGTTATTATGATGTCACGAATGCCTGGGTGACCTTGGAATAGTTTCTCCAAGATAGTCTGCACATCATCGTGGGCTTGTAACCAAAAACACTAGAAGGGTTCAGGTCTTAAGATGGGCAGGGCTGTAAACTGCACAGAATGCTCTCCAAGATAGCTATTTCAGTTCAAAACCCATTGCAATTGTGGAACACTCTTTTCAATTTTGTGCGGCCACCTAAAATGGAATGTTTTACTTTCGAAAATGTAGAACCGAGTATCACGCAGACTGAAATAAGCTCACTTATATTTATCGGTATACATTTAGGTGGAAAAGGCTGCTCCAGACAACATGATTTCTCTGTTAAGTAAATGTGCCTTTCAATATGTCATTGTCTGAATACCCTATCGTACCTTGCACAACATTGACTGAAAGTCAATTGTCAGCCGTTACATCTGGAAATTGTGCTTACATTCGTCAGATATGGAGGACCGGAAAGTTATATGTTTCTTGGCCTTGATTATCGCATGCCTAATGGAGCGACGTGATTTGAATAACGCAATTATGGCGTCGTGGATGCCTGGGTGATCTTGAAAGTGCTTCCCCGAAATATGCTGCACATCTCTGCGAGCGCGTAGCTCAGAAATTAGAGGTGTTGAAATCTTAAGAAGGACAGGGCTGCGAACTGCACCGAATAATCTTCAATATAGCTAGTTCAGTTCAAAACCCAATAGAAATGTCGAACATTTTTTAAATGATCATTTTGAGTTGTAGCGAGATGGCCTATCCTCACTCACTATTAATGCTGGTGAAAATGATTCCCGCTTGCCACGGGATGTGACAACGCTTAACGTCATAACGGTGGAACACTGCGAGTGGAGTGGGAGGGGAAGGTACGACAGGTGGCATTAGTTTCGTTATTACGCATGCGCGACCAGTACAGGTCTGTAGACAAACTTAGCTACAACAAAAAAATCCACCAAAGTTGGCCTTCAAACGGTCACTAGAAGTACAGTAATTGGTAAGCACAATACAATGTAATAACCAGTTCATGCAAGACATTTATGAAGAATATGGTCCTAGGTTCGCAATCAATAGAAAGTACACATAAAATGAAATGACCGCATCTAGCTACGTTCTAAAGCTACCGTAAAAACGCGACGGTGGAAACGGTGATGAAACGTGATGGGCACTGACGAGAGGGTAGGAAAATAGCAGCCGTACCTAAGAAATTAATTATGTTGTATTATGGCGCGTATATTGCAATTCATGATCAGTTTTCACATTTCCGTTAGAAAATGTGCTAATTTTTATAGGCTACAGGCACATTATGCTCCAACCACCTCCTAATCCGAGTAAAGCTATATGCACGGACGACAAAGACACTGAATGTGCCCGGCCCAAACAGGGAAAAACTATCGAGCGGCCTCATGGAGCCCTAGTAGTTTTGCATTAGCATTCATGTTATCCTACCGATGTGAGTGAACTTCTACATAATGGTAAAAATTGGGGATAAGCGGCCCTTAGTGAAAAAATCTGTAAGAAAAATGCACGTAGATTTTCTTTGAATATACTTAGATTATCATTCGATTGCATTAGATTATTAGTTATTAGGTTACATTACAATATTATATTACATTATTAGCTATAAGTTATTAGCAGATTATATTATTATTATATTATATACTAGATATCATATTACTG